TGAAGCCGGTTTGAAATGGGTCTAGATAATCGGTTTCATCCAAGACTTTTGCAATGAAAATAAGATTTAGGGCCTATACAGACTGCCAGAAATAATCCAGCTTGAGACCACTTTAACTGTCCTGGCTCAGTGCTAGGGAATCATGGGAACTGTAGTTTAATGTGGCACCAGAGCTCTCTGACAGAGAAGGCTCAATGTCTCAGGAAAAAACTACAATTCCCATGATTCCCTAACACAAAGCCAGGACAGTCAAAGTAATCTCAAACTGGATTATTTTGGCAGCTATAGGCCCTTAGTCTGTTCCTGGATGAGGAGGTGACTATTGTCTATTTATTTAGACTTAAATATATCAGGTAACTTAGAAATAAAATGGGACTTGTCTCCATTAACTTTTGTTTTAGTCTGTTTTGTTCATATTTTCTCTCTTGTTGATACCTGCGAAGACCCAATTCCCTGTTGGTGGCTGCTCAGCTTCTGGGTTTGCAGAGAGACAATGCCAGCAGGCAACAAATATCATTAGGGGTTGTTTACTCTGGGTTTGTGTCTCTGGATGGTGATTTGGGAAAGGATGTTGCTTCCTTCCTTCCTGTGCTCTCTTGCAAAATTCTTAGAACAGTAGGGAAAAATAAAATATTTGAAAGACCACATAGAATCCAGATGTGCTGTCCAGGGGAAGAAGCCAGATTTCTTCCCCCAAACTGCCAGGCTAAAAATAATTGTTTTGATCTGCAGGTTTATGGTTTCAGATGCATGTTGGGCATCAGATATGGATGGTCCAGATCAGAAGAAAGAGAGAGAGTTTGTTAGAATTTCCTGGTTTTCTCCTTATTTATTGTTGACACTGCAATAGGACACTCTGGGTGGCTAAGAATCTGCTTTTAAAGAGCAAGTTCCCATGTAGAGGGTTTGTACTGTCAGTTTTAGAAATGAGACAACAGAAGAAAGAAGAAACCAGAAAGAAGTGGTCACAAGCACCACATTCTGCTTCTACCAGTCAAACCAAATGATTCCTTACTGGGCACCTCTTGTTCTACTCAGAGCACTTTACCTTTCTCCATCTTCTGGTCCGCACTGTAATTTGAGTAGCAATACTTCTGAAGTACACAGTCTTGTTTGCTTATAGAGTTGACATCCAAAACCATTTACCATAAATCAAAGTTCGTAGTCCTCATGGCTGTGGAGATAATGCTGATAAATTACAGTAGACTGTCTGAGTAATTTTTGGAAATCCGGGGAAAGTGCTGGGAGAGCAGAGCTTCTACTATCAAAGTGAGAGAGATCTTTGATACTGGGCATTA